TATATATATATACATTATAAAAAAATACACATTATGATTATTTTCTTTTGAGTACAAGAAAAAGTCAAGTTATGGAAAATCAACCTTTATTTTACACCTTCGCTTTCGCGATGTTGAGTCTATTATTGAAATAAAATTCTATTTTGTTTCGCCTGTAAATGCTATTTCAATCCCGAGACGTCCGTCAGTGAATCCTGAAAAATAGCTGAAATAACTTTCAGTGTCTACGAGCCCGTTCGTTTTTTTCTTATTTACGTTATCTGTCGCGAATCGCACAACCAGTTTCGAAATCGGCTGTTTTTCGCAACAATTTTGCCGAAGAATGGCACTTCGTGAATCTCGAAATGCCTTGTTCCTTTTGACAGTCGCAAAATTCCGCGCCAAAAAAGAAGAAAAACTGTTATTCTTTAATATGCAACTGAAAGGAAGATTAAACCGGTAAAATTTTTTGCTAATTTTATTGTTAGTATTCTTGATAAAGCATCTTAATTTCTTCAGTATCTTCATTTTTCGAGAGACAAATTAGAATTTATTATCTCGAAATATTTTCGTATGTTTGTTAATGCTCTCGAAATCCTTAGAAAATTTTTCAACTCGTTTAGAAGATATAGATCATCAATCATAGAGGTATAAAACTATATAAATATCTCTATTTATATAAAAACGCAATATGGGCATTAATTATATTACACAAGATGACGGCGACGGATGTGCGTTTGCATATCGATAAATCCGAATTTCGTACGCGTCCGTCGTGTGCTGCTGGCCATGGTCGCGCGATTTGCAGAATACCGGTCGGCTCGTGGTCATAATAATAATTATACAGGGCTACGATACGTGGCTATAATAACGATCATAAGGCCGCGATCGATTGCGGTGCGATATAAAATAACGGAGAAGGCCGTGCTCGCGCGAGACGCGAGTGAGTCATCGTTCCGAGACACAACCCTCTTCGGGATTTTCTCGTTCGAGACCATGTCCGTTATAAGGTCAGTCGTTCGATTATATGCATTTCCGGATGTTATCGTATCGATATGCGACCTTACTACATATGTGTGTGTGTATAAGGAAAAGCACATTAAACATATGACAAATTAATTATTTTTTTTTCGGTAAAACTACATAAAAGATAACACATTTCTGATTTTATCGTCATTTGAATATGTTGTAGGCTGAGTAATTTCCGTCAAGAAATAAGTGGGGGACAGTATTGGTTTAGGAGATATAACAAATTAAAATTTTACGGTTTTAACGCTTTTTCTCAGGTATTATAAAGTAATATTAGGAAAAGTAAAGTTTATATACATTGTATTTGTTGTAGAGCAGACGTGGAAAAAGTGTTTGTTTACATTTACGGGATAGGTACACAGTCATGAATACTTTATCAATAATGTGTTTCACCTATTTTTCGCAGTTCGTTAACAGCTTTCAACATGCGATTACACGAATTTGTGAGTCTTCTCTTGAAAAATATTATTTATTGAATGCGTAAGCGGAGGAGATGTGTTTTCTTTTATACACTTTTTTTCAAATATGTATTACTCTTATGAGAGATCTTTTAAAGAGAATTTGTCAGATTTATAAGGGGGAAAAAAATTTAATTCTTCTTTTTTGAAATCAATATACTTGCGCGGCGTAGAGATATTAATATTATGAAAATTAATTTTATAAAATTACACAGATATATATTTACAAATATTAATATTACAGAAATTAATTTTAATTAATTATATATAGACATATAGATATATATAGAGAAAGATTTGTAGAAATATGAATTAATGACAAATTATATTAATTTACCACGTTTTAAATATAATATATACAAAAAGAAATATGCATGTGTATGTGTGTGAAATTTGCTTGACTGAAAATAAGCTGTACATGTTTGGATGTTTTCATTTCACAGCCAATAATCACTCTCGCCGACTCTCAAGAGTAAAAGTTTAAAATTTACATTAATATCGCGTGTATACACGAGTCGAGAGAAAAGAAATCCACCTAGATTTAAACTTAATTTTCTTCTAAATACATAAACTTTATTTTTCCTGAACTTATTTCTTTTAATATGATTAAGTGTAAAAATAAATTGTGCAAGAACCGTACTTTGTACGAAAAAAACGTCGGTTTTATGCGAGTTCAATTCACAACCTTCGAAAAGAGTGTATTTTTTGCAAAAAATATTTTATATGGACGGTAACATTGCAGTGACGTGAGAAAACAGCAGGCGGACTCAAGAAAGCCATGAAAAAGGCGTATAATTAGGTAAAATTCGACTCACGTTTTTCTTTGCTCTGTCGTTTTTTTGTCGATAAGATTGATTTATTGTATTCTTCATATGGACGTAGAAATTGCTCTACTTGTGCCTCGATCGCAATAAAATGGCCAATTGAGATTTGCCTTGAATTCTAAATGGTATAAATTCTGCGAGCTGTCTTCTTTTTTATTTCTTTATTTCCAACATGATTTTTTATACGGTATTTTCTAATTTATTCAAAACTATTTTCTTTATTTTCTATTTTGTAAAAAATTTTTTATAAAATTATTAATGTTTTCTCATAACTTTTAAATTTTCATACTTCTAGACATATTTTTTTATATTGCATTATAAACTTTCAATAAGACACACAAAGCATTTTTATTTAAAATTTTTATTTCTTGTGTGAAAAGTGTAGAAATTGACTTATAAAGACTAATGGGATTAACATCTTTTCAATTTATTGATTAAAATTTTCTCAGTAACGTGATGAGCTTCGATATATAATTCAGGTATAATTAATAGAAAATTTTATTCTATATTTGTCATATTTATATGAACTACATATTTTATCTATGATTTATATCCGTGGAATTTATACAGAATTTTTAAGTTTTTTCTTGCGGTGCTCGTTTAACTCGAACACTATGAGATCATTGTAAGTTTTTGCAATTTTATGAAAGGTCGCATATATCGTATCGATAAATCGGATCGTGCCGATCCGATGCCAATGTATCGATTTACACTTATATCATCCGTTTATATTTCCGGCATCTATTACGATTCGTCACGTAAGAAAGCAGTACAAGTTTTGCAACGCATTTCGCCACTTCTCGCGACAATCTACAAGCTATTTCATCATACATGAAAGTCTTTAGATCGAAAGAAAAGAATTAAGAAAAACTGGTATGTCAGAAATAAAATAACAATTATAAGATATTTATTTGGATTTGATTATACACACACAGAGAAAGTATTCTAAAAAAATATTTTTGAGAGAAAGTTTGTCATAATTTCACGGTATTTGAAAAGAAAATATAAAATCTAATTAAATTTACATAAAATTTTATGCATATATTAAAAAATATATTTCTGTTTTTGAAAAATTATATATTAAAATTTTTTTCTGTTGAATATTAATATGTAAAAATAAAATTTTTGTCGTCTCATTAAAATTCAGTACGACGATATTTGCTTTATAGATTTTTTCTAGATTAAAAAAAAATTTTTTATGTGCTTTTTTTATTTTTTGAATACTATGCAATTATGTAATTGATAATCAATGAAAATACTTTCTTGAAGTATCTTCGAAACGAGAATCGATCCGCGTGTTTCTTCTCGAGACCAAGGACGATTTCGATCCAAGGCAGACATGCATGTTAATACAAGGCGCTTTCGACAACGACGACGACAATGGAACTTTCTCGCTCCGTTTAATCCAGTTTCTCGAATAAATCGTATCGTCGCTTGTCCGAGTGAAGTAACGAATGTGCACGAGATTTATAAGCGCGTTCAATGAATGGCTGCTGACTATCGAATAACTCTATCTAAGTAATAAGATAGACACGATTTTTTCGCGTATTTCTCCTGCTCGAGTATATTTTAAATGTAATTTGTGACAATCTCGATAAAGATAAAGAAATTATAGTAATAATAAAGAAAATAATATAACAGCTCTATATAAAAAAAATATTTCACTACAATGCCTGGTATTAAGTATATTATTTTTTCTCTCAACAATAAAATATATATAATTAAAATAATAATTTTACAAAGCAAATTAAAAATACACAAGTAAATATAATTCTTTTGATTTTAATTTATCGTGACATAGTTTAATTATTATCGGTATTTATTTTTTTTCCGTATTATTCGCTCTTTTGTCTTATCTTATCATTCGAAAATTTTAATTTGATAGTCAATTGATTAAAAATACCTATAACACAGCGTTCATTTTATACACTTTTCATGTACATTATTATGCTTCCGGTAAAAGCGATTTGATTTCCAATTGCCCGAGCGAGTTTTCGCGGCGCTGAATAACTTTCACGTCTTATGAATTGTAAACAGTATTGTATTCTTATTTAACAATTATTAGATCGCTGATACCGAAGATACTTTCATATTAGAGTGCATTGAATGCATTATCATATTTTTTGGACGATGATGCAACGCGCGTGCATTTTAAATAAAATACGAATCACGTATTTTTATGATTGACATCGGTGGTGGGTCGTGAAGAAAATATTTCTTCGCGACGAAAAAGGCGAACCCTTTCCGGATAACGGTAACATTGCGTCGCATACGGTGTATTATTGCGGTACATTAATCGGTATTACGTGTTCAACGTGCCAAGGATGTTTATGCCACGCCCCGGTGCGATTAATATTCGGCTTGATGGCCTCTC